TATATTGGTTTTGATCTTGACTTCTTCTTTATTTTTGCTTAGTAACAACGTTAATGCTATTCAAGTTAAGGCCATTTTTATCTTCGTGGGCCAACTTTCTACTTTCAACTTGATCGTTTTTTGACTGGATTTCATCTGTATCAGTATCGCTATACCTTCTGTTTTATCCTCACTTTTCTTTTTCTCAATGATTTCATATTCTTCTTCCGTTCCTAGGCCAGAAATTTCGATCTTTTTCCATATTTCATCTCCAATGTTCGTGAATATTTTTTTTAAATTCCAAGAAATTAAAAGTTTTTTTTCCTATGAAAGGTTCTCTCGGTATTATACTTGTTTCTTCTTTCTTTATTCTAAAGGTTCTCGTTATGTCTTGGATGTTACTGTATATCTCTTTTTGCCGTTTACTATGATTCCATATAAGAACCGTGTGTGTATTTTTATTATTCCTATATTTGTTCTTGTTGATATATGTTTATCGCATCCATTACATGCTCTTGTTATTTGATTTCCTTCAACATACCAATGCCTCAATGTTGCCAAGTTTTCTTCTACCTTTCCTACTTTTCCTATAAGTCCTACACTATTTGTTACCCATTTATTCTCCTTCCGAATTTCGTTGGTTATGCACCTTATTGTAAACGGGTTTGGGACTATTAGTTTCAGTGATGGGTTTTCGTTATTTGTGATTAGTGTACATATTGCTTCAAACTATCTCAGTTTTCTGCTCTTTATTATTTTCCCCAAGTTATGTGCTAGCCCTTTCCATGTTACAAAATTTTTGCACTCTTCATCTAATAATTGTTCTATATATTTTAGACCATGCTTGTTCATGCTTGTTTTGATATCGTTCCTTTTCTCCATCTTTTTTAGGATATAATTAATCGATATTCCTTTTTTTTTAGTGGTTGTGGCCATACTTTGCGCTCATTTACAAGTTTTATTTTAGTTTCATGTATTTCTTTTATTATTGCTGCGGTTCTAGAAAAATTAACTTTTTTAGGGAAAACTGGTTCCTCTTCCAATATAGAAATGTTCGTATTGGCTGCTTTTTGTAGTTCTTGTAAGATGATGAAAGCAGGTGTCTCATCCCAATTCGTATTATTCATATCTTTCCATAGTTGGTTCACGTGTTGTAAACGTTGTATATCTTTCGTTTTATTCATGCCGTATATGTTATAGTGCCACAATAATGTATTAGGTGCCGTTCTTATAATTCTTGCTTTTTGCTTTACCTCTTTCATAATTTTCTTATCTATAATCTCGCACATAGATTCTTTAATATATGTATTTTGACACCTATATGCTATTCTCGTCAATATCACACTATTAACTATGTATATGTACTGTTTTTCTGTAATTCTACTTTTTTTAAGCCTGTCTATAGCTTCTTCTGCTTCTTCTTTTATTTTCTTGTTAATTTTGTCCTGATTCTTCTTTTCTTTAAACCAACATCCTAGATATCTGAAAGGTTCGTCTTGTTGTCTTCTTTCTAAGATTTGGTTTTCAAAAAACATCGAAGTATTGCCTCTTGCATTTGTTAGGAAGATCAATTTGTTCGCATTAACTTTTATTTCTGTCATTTTATAGAAACTTGATGCAGTCTTTAAAATCTCTTCTAGTTGAATTTTTGATTCAGCTATCCATAGTGAATCATTCATATATGCCATTACAGATAAGTTGATTTTGTATTCACTTCCAGTAGGTGTTTTCACGGATATCGAGAATCCTTCAAAATCCCTATCTATTTTCGTTATTAGCGGATCGTAATATATTCTCCAAAAAATCAGAGACATTGTCCCTCCTTGATCTAAACCATCTTCCACTTTGTATGCGTTGGTTTTCCTAGATTCGTTAGAACCTTGTTTTTTTTCCAATAAATTCTTTGTTAAGTTTATGAATTTTTCTGGTATATTTATTCTTCATAAAGCCTTCCATAAAAGTGGTAAGTATACAAAATCGTACGCTTTTAACATATCCTGTGAGACAAGCCAGTAGTCCTTCTCCTTTAGCCATGCGTATTCTTGTATGTTCGTTAACTATTGGATTGGCCCTGTAGTTGATGTATTTGGTAAAGCTGAGTTATTCCTTATATTAAGTACTTTCTTCTGTCCTAAAATCTTGTTCAATCTTTTTGTTAGTATTTTCGTAAAGATTTTTCTTGAGTGTTCTATCAACGTGATTGGTCTGGTTTGTGTTAAATTACCCTCGAAGTCTTTTTTCTTTGGGATAGGATATACCACTCCTTGCCTCCACGCCTTCGAAACCGTTTCTTTAGTCAAACAAATATTACATATTTCTAAAAAGATCTTTTTAGCTTCTAGTAGCAATTTCTTAATCATCTCGTTCGATATTCCTGATTCTCCTGTAGCTTTTCCATTTGGTGCTTCGCTTATTAGATTCTCTAGTTCTTCCAACTCTATTGTTGTAACTAATCCTTCATAATCTTTGTAAAACCGGATCGTATTCCTTTTCCCACAATTTCCAGTACTCCTTGTTCGTTGGATTATATTTAGTCCAATTTTTAAAATGCATTACAACTTCTTCTTTGATTCCTTTTCCGTCAGTAATCACTTCATCCACTTTTATTATATTGTCAAATGTGACTCTATTTCTTTTCCTCTTTAAAATGCTATCTATTATTCTTTTAGTATTAGTTTGAAAGTTGTTTTGCCTTCTTTCTACTGCTAGGCTAATTTCTTCTCTTATTTCACTATTGTTTTCTATTTGCGTCGTTACGTGTATAGATTTCTTCAACTCTATCATACTTTCTACTAACTGTTTAAAGTTTTTGTTCCAGAAGTCTTGTTCTTTGATCTTGATATTTTCTAATCCCAATTTCGTTGTTAATGAACCTATCTTCTTGTTGAATCTTTTTGTTACTTCTTCATAGGAAAATGGTGGATGTGATTTTAATTCTTTCAAATTTCTTATAAGTTTATTTATCTTGACTAATCCTTGATATAGCTCTGATGCCTTCTTTGTTTTCACTCTGAAATAATTATTATATATCTTTAACCACTTAATATGTTTGTCAGCTAAGTGTTTTATAGCAATATATAATTTGTGCCAAGCTTTGTTCAGAGAGGCTTCGTCCGTTATCTTTTTTATTTCTAATGCTTCAATTTTCCGTTTTATTTCAACTCTGAAATCCTCCCATTTGTTCTCATCCATTTCATTATACTTAAAAACTTTTCTGGATTTCTTCTTTCTTCTTATCGCTTTAAACTTTCTCTTTAGCTTCTATTGTACTTTTATCATCCTATGATCGCTTCCAGAAGGCTCTACTTCTTCTATTATTGGATACTGTAAGACATATCTAAAACTATCTCTTCCGATGTCCATATATCATCAATCTGTGACTCCATTTGATCTCTTTTCCATGTATACTCCTGAATTTTGTTTACTTCTAATAAGCTTAGCATCCTACTTGTACTCATATTCTTAAAAATCGGTGTTTTTCTTTTACTATCTGCCCTTGCCATTTTATTATTGACATCTCCCATTACTATTATCTTCATGTTTTTCTTATTTGCGTCTGAGATCCATTTCTTTATTTTATCTTGTGTTTTAAGAGATATTTCCGTTTTGTCTGATGGTAGGTATAGCGATATTATTCTTGTTTTCAAGTTTCCAGGCAGGAAGAAATCTATCATAATTGTTGTTTCCAAATAGCTTTCTATATTGTGTATATAGTGTCTAAGATAAGGTTTGATGAGTAATGCAGTTCCCATTGCCGATTCCCTTTTTAAACCTAAATCTTCTGGAGTTGCCGCCGTGTATACGTAATAGTACTGATTGAGTAGTGATCTTCTCAAATCTTTCTTTTGTGCCAATTTAGTTTCTGTTACACTCACAATACTATATCCTTCTTGTTCAAATACTCGAAAATTAATTGTCTCTTTAATGGCATATTCAAGCCTTGCACATTTAATGTTGAAATTGATAAAACTTTTATTCTTTCTTTCACTTTTATCTTTGTTTTTTCCTTTTTTTCTTTTTTTCCTTGTTAATTGTTTTTTCTTTTTTCTTTACTTGCGTCTCGTTTTCTAATGTATTATCGTTATTATTGTTCATCATGATTAATAATATTGTCCATTTTAACATCTTCTACCACTTCGTTTGTGATTTGTTGCTCATCGAATATATTCCACTTTGGTTCAGGTAGTTCCTCTGTTTCAAAGATCCACTCAGGTATAATACCCAATGGGTACTTTTCCCTCAGGTAATTCAGCCTTCAGGTACTTTGTCTTGTAATGTTATTGGGAAAGACCATTGGAATTCTGGTTCTTTTTGTTTTAAATCTTTATTTAGCTTCTCAAGATCGCTCGGAAGCCGTTTATCTCCAAATCGCTTTATTTTTATTATCTCTATCTTGGATCAAGATCCAATCTTCAGATATTTTATGAAAGAAATAGTGTTCTCTTAAAGCTTGAACTGCTATTCTTAACTCTTTTGTACTTGTAATCGGAATTGTTAGATTTACCTTTTTTACTTCCTCCCACTCTTCAGGCAGGTCTTCGAGCTGTGTATAGTTGACCTCAATATATTTCGCCGGCATTGGATTTGGTATTCTATAGTAACTTGGGATTGATTTTATAAAGTTTAAAGCCTCAGTTCTGCTTTTTATCGGGAAACCCTCCTTAACATTAATTTTCAAATCCCTTGGATTCTCGGGTAGCCTCTTCTTATTAATCACGTAGTCATTTGGGAGATATTTGAATGCATAAACTTTTCTCAGTTTGTTCACATGTTCTTTAAAATCTTCACTATCTTTAGGGCAAAAAGGAAACATTCTTCTCAGTCTCAGTGTCAACTCCTGATAAGTCAAAGGCAACTCCAATTTCTTTGGTAATAAGTCAAAAAACGATTCAGATAATTGAAAGAAAGAATAAAACTTTCTTAATTCCTCTTTCCAATCCTTAGCCTTTTTTAAATCAGCTCTATCCGTTACAAGAAAAAATTTTTTAAATTCTTTTCTAAATTCGCTTGGATAACTCGGGATCGGTATTCTTGAATCTTCTATATAGGTCTCCGGTAATCGATCAAATTTATATATCCCTCTCAGACTGCTTACAACTTCACCCGTGAATCTTCTGTCCCGAATTGGTAAAGTGTATTCTAAAGCTTCTCTAATTTCTTTCGGAATCATATCATAATGTTCAGGTGGTTGAATCAATAAGTCACTCTTCAACTCATTTATTCTCTTTCTCAACTCTTCGAATTTTAAATCATTCTGTAATCTTGCAAAACCCGCCACGAAAAATATTAATTGCATTATCTCAAAACTATCCAAAATGATAAAATCAGTATTAGTCAGAAAATTGATTTCCAATTTCTTTCTCAATTTATCATAGATCTGATTTTTATTTTTCTTGTTGATGACGTATGCCCCATAGGCTTGTTTGTATCTGTCTGTAGCTCTCCCCAGTAGGTACATAAATTCGTTTTGATGTGCAGGACATGTCTCGTGTCTATTTGTAAAACATCTAAAGAAAGCTTTATTCTGATATTTTAGCTTGATCCCAATAGCTGGTAGTATTTCCATACTTGTTGCT